AGAGAATTCTGGGGAAAAAAAGTTAAAAAAAAATCTTAAACACCAATAAAAACCATAATACACAGGTGAGAGTCAAGGTATTTCTTTAAAGAAAAGGTTACAGGTACTCAAGGGAAAGCATCTATATAGAAGGGCCTTTCTAAAACCTGCCCCTTAGGTTCATGCACCAGTTATGTTTTAAAGCTGAAATGACTCTAACAAATGTTTACAGCGAAAGATTCCATTATGAAAGTAAACCCACACTACTCTGAAAAGATAAAGAAATGTAGACCTAATCCTGGACTGTTCCAAGATCCACAATACATTTACATTTCAATAAATGATAAGACATATACTAAACATTGTGGGCATTGTAATTCTACATCCGCAAAATAAATTTCATTTATGGACTAACCCAGCCGTGGGCAAACTACGGCCCGCGGGCCGGATTAGGCCCGTTTGAAATGAATAAAACTAAAAAAAAAAAAAAGACCGTACCCTTTTATGTAATGATGTTTACTTTGAATTTATATTAGTTCACACTAACACTCCATCCATGCTTTTGTTCCGGCCCTCCGGGCCAGTTTAAGAACCCATTGTAGCCCTCGAGTCAAAAAGTTTGCCCACCCCTGGACTAACCTCTTGGAATACAGAATGTGGTTCATTTGGGTAAATATTAAATAAATAGACCAAAGAAAAAATAAATGAACTTTTAGGAATTTAACGTTGAAGGAGAAAGAACAGAATAGTATTAAGAAATCTAGGCAACAGTTTCATTTTAGTTTTTCAGTAAAACATACAAACAGCAACAACATTTTTGGCTTCAGCCTCCTAAATGCATGTTACACATATGGCTAAGGAATGTGAGCAATTATGAAATTCAGGCTTTGAATTTGCTTTTCCCTAATTCAGAATTCCTCATAGAGATGCAACTACATTTAGAGAAGGTCTTCGTGCTGCCTTGTTTGCAAAGTCTACCCACCAAGTTTACCTCCCCTTCAAAAATCCTGCTGGATTAGACAGAGATAGAAAGTGACTGTAGGGCTAACTTTAAAGCACTCATCCTGAACAAAATTTACTGTTATACTTTGATTTACTTATTTTAGTAATATTTATGAGGAACTAGAAGTGTGCAATATACAAGATGAAGAACTAAAATGTAGGACTGTATCAAACTTAAACCACCCACATTCACCTTCATCTACCAGAGCTAGCTTATTTTTTTGCTGTTTACCCATTTTCCTAGAATTTCCCCTAATATGAATCAACCTTTATGACTCTATAACATACTCATATAATCTTAAGAAAGATCATCATCTCCCTTACAAAATCCTTAACACACTGCTTTTCTGTAATTCTTAGCAGTAAGATCACTATTTCATCTATACTTCCCTGACTCTAGGGCAAGGCCCACATGCACTTTATCTAAAAAGAGCCCCACTGAAGGAAAGTTAACTCACTGTTTTGGCTGTTGGCATCATCTGCTTTGAACAGAACATTAAAGATGCAAGCAGTCCTTTTATTCTAAACTAGAGGCTCTGTGCACAAAATCCATTCACTGGGTGTGTGTGTGTGTGTGTGTGTGTGTCCCTCAGCCCAGCCTGCACCCTCTCCAATCTGGGACCCCTCAGGGGCAGTCGGAAACCCCTCTCACAATCCGGGATTGCTGGCTCCTAATCACTTACCTGCCTGCCTGCCTGGTCCCCCCCAACTGCCCTCCCCTGCCGGCACGGTCACCCCTAACTGCCCTCCCCTGTCGGCCTGGTTGTCCCTAACTGCCCTCCCCTGCAGGCCTGGTACCCCCCAACTGCCCTCCCCTGCAGGCCTGGTTGCACCTAAACTGCCCTCCCCTGCTGGCCTGATCGCCCACAACTGCCCTCCCCTGCTGGCCATCTTGTGGCTGTGGGCACCGCCATTTTTTAGGGTGGGGCAGTCAATTAGCATATTCCCTCCTTACTGACTGTGGGTGCCTCCATCTTTGTGATGGTGTGAGGGTCAATTAGCATATTCCCTCTTTATTAGATAGGATTACTGCTATTAGGACCTTTAATACAGTCAAGATTTACATCAAGCACAATGGCTTAATCACCTCTCTTACAGTCACATAAGCATTCTCCATCATTTAGAAATAGGTAACCTACTTATCATACAAACCAGAAAGTTTGGTTTGCTGACAGCATTCTGGGGCTAAACACTACATTAAATATATAAAAGCCTAAGTGACCGTTCGACCGGTAGCTATGACGCATACTGACCACCAGGGGGCAGACACTCAACGCACAGGCATGGAAACATGGAAAACACTGATGAATCTCAGAGGGAAGTGGGGAGGATGGGAAGAGATTAATCAAAGATCTTATATGCATACTAGAGGCCCAGTGCACAGATTCATGTACCGGTGGAGTTCCTCGGCCTGGCCTGTGGGGATAGGGCTGAAACTGGCTCGGTGCACCGATTCGTGCACTGGTGGGGGGGTCCCTCAGCCTGGCCTGCGGGGATCGGGCCGAAACTGACAGTCCGACATCCCCCAAGGGGTCTGGATTGCGAGTGGGTGCAGGCCAGGCCAAGGGACCCCACCAGTGCACAAATCCGTGCATCGGGCCTCTAGTATTAAATATAAGATACTAGAGGCCTGGTGCACAAAAATTTGTGCACTCGGGGGGGGGTTCCTCAGCCTGGACTGTGCCCTCTCGCAGTCTGGGACCCTTCGGGGGATGCCCACCTGCTGGCTTAGGCCCGCTTCCTGGGGGATCAGGCCTAAGCTGGCAGTCAGACATCCCTCTGGCAGCCCGGGAGCCCTCGGGGGATGTCCACTTACCAGCAGGGAGCAGACCTAAGCTGCAGTCAGATATCCTTAGTGCTGCTGAGGAGGCGGGAGAGGCTCCCGCCACCACCGCTGTGCTGGCAGCCATCAGCCTGGCTTGTGGCTGAGCAGAGCTCCCCCTGTGGGAGCACACTGACCACCAGGGGGCAGCTCCTGCATTGAGTGTCTGCCCCCTGGTGGTCAGTGTGTGTCATAGTGACCAGTCATTCCCAGTCGTTCTGCTGTTAGGGTCAGTTTGCATATTACCTTTTATTATATAGGATAGAGGCCTGGTGCACGGGTGGGGGCCAGCTGGTTTACCTTGAAAGATGTCCCGGATCAGGGTGTGGGTCCCGCTAGGGTGCCTGGCCAGCCTGAATGAGGGGCTGATGGCTGTTTTCAGGCTGGCCACACCCCCTTCAGGTTGGGGGTCCCCACTGGGGTGCCTGGCCAGCCTGGGTGAGGGCTGAGGGCCATTTTCAGGCTGGCCACAGCCACGGGCTGGAAGCAGGTATCTGGGATTTATTTATCTTCTATAATTGAAACTTTGTAGCCTTGAGTGGAGCCCAGTGCTGGCCAGGGCAGGCGGGAAGCTTGGATTCCTCCATCGCCGGGGGCAACCTAAGCCTCCTGCTTGCTCCAGCTCCGTTGCCACCGTCATCTTTGTGATGGAGTGAGGGTTAATTTGCATATTACTCTTTTATTATATAGGCTAGTGATTAAATTGTAAATTGACCTCAAATATCATTGTTATCTCTTGCTAAAAAAATTGCCAGATTATTAAAAAAAGAGCCTGCTACCAAATTCAAATAAGCTCATTGCAAAATTCAGCAAGCCAGCCTTGCCTCCCAAAGAACCTAAAAATTACTCCCTATTGCTACCCTTCATCCTTCTGTACTGATATAAAAATATGATCCCTACTTTCTTATCCCAAGATAGGGATAATCATGGTCCAATTTCCACTTATTACCAAATATTCCCTGGAGTAGCAGGTTAGAACAGAAAGCCTTAGATGCATAAAATCTCCATGGAAAAACATGAGAATATTTATACAATACTGATATCCAGATGCTTTAGCCTCTCCACAAGCGGCTTTCCAACATTCTTCCACCAAGGATTTACTCTAATGGTTTGTGATTATTTGTCCTTTCATTCACTCTCCTGTTTCAATGTCCATGGCTTCTCTCCCTCAAGTAACAAGCGACTACTCAGACAACAAGAAAATAGAGAGAATGTCATCAGAGAAGTAACTAAAGAAACAAAAGCTGCCTTGCAAAATAAGACAACTATATCTTTCACCATAACCCAGTAGTTGTCAATTTCAGTTGCATATTAGAATTACCTTAGGAGCTTTTTCTTATTTTAAAAACATATTTTATTAATTTCACAGAGGAAGGGAGAGGGAGAGAGAGAAACATTAATGATGAGAGAGAATCATTGATCAGCTGCCTCCTGCACACCCCTCCCCCACCACTGGGGATCAAGTCTGAAACTCAGGCACGTGCCCTGCCTGGAAATCTAACTGTGACCTCCTGTTTCATAGGTTGATGCTGAACCACTGAGCCATGCCAGCACGGCCCATTTATACATTTTAAAAATTAATATTTAGAGGGTGGAAGAGAGAAACATTGATGTGAGAGAGAAACATTGATCGGTTGCCTCCCGCACATGCCCCAACAGGGGATTGAACCCAAAACCACTGGAATGTGTCCTGGTTCATAGGTCGACGTCCAACCACTGAGCCACGCCAGCCGGGCACCTTAGGAGCTTTTAAATGTCCTGATGCCTAGGTCTCATTCCAAACTTATTAAATAACCAGACATCAGTATTTGTTAAAGGTCCCCCAAGAGATTGAGAACCATTACATTAACTCAAGATGAAAGCCGCTTTCTATTTTTTTACCTAAAGAAAAAATCACAAATCTTACTTTCCATATACAATTTCAGAGGATTTTTCAAGAAATTCCTAGGGTCTGATGTACTTTAAAATTAGGGAATTTCTTCCCTAGTAAAGGAAGGGAGTAGGGGGTGTTCTATTTCATTGGAATAAGGAAGGAAGCGGAAATCCTTTGCATACTCTCACATCTGCCAGGAGTTGCTTCTCCTCCTTTACAGACAGTAAAATCATCAAGCTGAGTTCTCATTAAGCAGGAGTAGTATTAGTCATAGATATCTGATTCCTACAAGATGTCCTAGGTTGCCAAGGTTCCTTCTCCTACCTCCAGTAGGTCTATCATCCTGGTCATCTGGGAGTAGATAAGGACCCTATGTCCTTGAGACTTGAGCCGAGTCAGCAGGACATCAAGGGCATACAGCTTTCCACTGTCAGTGATGAGGCTCTCCTTGCCTAGGGAGAAGAAAAGGGGGGAAGGGGAAACTGTATTTAATTGAAGCAGCAAAATCACTCACTGCAAAGCTGTATGCAGCCAAAATTACTGCAACCAGGATGCGAATAATCATGAAAGCAGGAAAGTATTCTAGAGGAGAATGCAAAGCACTGTTAAATAGTGATCCAATAGTGCTCTGGGAAGAAATATCCTGAAAGAGGGAAGTGTAGGTACCTTCCCAACCGATAGTTCCCAATCAGACACAGGCATCTGAAAACTTCCCCACTCCAACCCTCACTCAGGTACACATGGGCATTTAAAAGTGATGTCCATGTCATATCTTCTGTAAGTGACCTGAGAGACCTGCTGTTTCTTTTTCCATATTATCTCTCAATATCTGTTTCTGCTAGTCTTGTGGCTAAATGGTTTACTTTCTGGAAGTATGAGAATGTAAAGAAACAAGGCCTGCTCTTGCCAACCCCTGGAGTCACTTAAACACCAAGAAATGCAAATAAACATACCCTCTTCTGCCTTTTATTTAAAAAATATTTTTATTGAACTTTAGAGAGAGAGAGGAAGGGAGGGAAAGAGAGAAAGAAACATCGATTTGAGAGTGAAACATTGATCAGCTGCCTCCTGCCCTCCCCCGCAATCCCTCCACTTGGGATGGAGCCTGGAACCCGGGCATGTGCCTTGACCTGGAATAGAACAGGCAACTTCTCGGTGCATGGGACAATGCCCAACCAATTGAGCCACACCAGCCGGCTCTTCTGCCTTTAAAAAAACAACAACTCAACTCACTCTCCTGGATGATTTCAAATAGGTTGGCTGGTAAATGCCATTATCCTAAGCTATAATTTAATAAAGACACTCTAGGGCTTGTTCAGCTTTTTAAAAAGATGTTGGGTTTCTGTGAAATGGAAGCTGCTTTCACTCACTAACTTGTACTGTCTCCTTCCTCTTCCCATTAAAAAAAAAAATAATTTCAGCCAAAGATCTTAAAGAATACTTAACTCACAAATTTTCATCTTATCCATTCAGTATCATTCAACTCCCATCACATTTCAGGAAGTAGAGTTTCCTGTTTGCAGACTGGTCCATAAACATGCCCTGAACAATTGCTGTTATTAAGAGGGGAAGAGATGAGGCTTAAGGGGCTGGGAGATTTAAGAGCATATGTGGAAGTGACTGGGGAACACAAAAAGGGAGAGAGAAAGGCTAAAGTTATTATACAGACAACTAACTGCTAAAAGTAAAAAGGAAAACTATTAAGAAAAAAAAATAGTCTATCCTTAGTTTCTGGGTTTGAACCCATGGATTTTCCTAAGAACTGTGAAGCAATCTAAGGGTTCTCAATGGTCATTTCTCAGTTCTTGTTATTTGCCAAGTGCACAATTATTGTATAAACTGAACAAGAACGGATGTGCTGACAGCACCATAACAAATCATCAGCCACTCTGTTTTGCTACAAAAGCCACAGGCCCTGGATGTTTACTCCTCTGCACTGTAGCCTGCCTTTTCCCACCTTCGGAACGCTGCCAGGCTACATCTCTCCCTCCGCCCCTCCACCCCCTGACGCTGTGACACACACCTTTGTTCAGCCTCTTTGTTTGGTCCTGTTTAGATTATTGAAATGCTCTTCTTTTTGTTGGTCTCCTTACCAACACAATCAAATGACTGCAGCTGGGACAGAACTAATTGCTAAGCCCTCTCTCTGGCACCAGACAAGGAGGCCTGTACAAATTCCAAGTCTGATGAGGGAGCAATGCTTTCATAGCAACTTCAAGGTTTTCTTCTTGTCACAATTACCCTTCTCCTTTAATTGGATTCCCCAGGGTCCCTCAATTTTGATGGCTCCTAAACATTCCCCACAGAGCTACCAATCAATTTCAGATAATAAGTTTCTTTCTTTTCTCATTAAAAGCACAGCAAGGTGAAAAAAAAAAAAGCCCATATATTTTTCAGTCATTGAGCAAGAGTGGGTAAACTAAGCTCATCTGATTTTTGTAGCCTGCTAATCTCTCTCCATTTGCATATACTCCCTCAACACAAATATTTAAGGGTGTACAAATGTCTTGCATCTGAATTTTGAGAAGTTTCAATTCATCTCAAAATCATGATTCAATGATTGTCACATATTCCTGCTTCCCACATCTATTTTATTTTGCTAAATAGAATGAACTGATGCTAGAATTCCGAAACCTCAGAGATGATGATGTGCATACACTTTGATAGACAGAACTCTGATGCACCTGAGAGAAGCAAGAACTGGTCTGGTACCTGTTGTTAGCCTGTTATTGTGT